TAATAATAATAATAATAATAATAATAATAATAATAATAAAAATAATAATAATAATTTTAGAAGTCACAGTCTCCGTACAATTAGGCACTTTAAATTCAACAATTTGGTCAAAATGATCGAATAGGTTTAACTGAAAATTGATTATTTGATTCAATTTATTAATAATTTTGTTTCTTTAGGTGAAGGTGCATGGAATTTACACATTTTCAGATCATGTGATTCATGTGAACATATTTTTAAGTGTATAAGTTTCTCATTAAACCTGTTTCTTATACTAAATTGTAACCTACTTACAGGAATATTGCACTTTTTCTTCCAATGAGATTGAGGATTGTCTGGACAATATTTTGGACACTTTTGTACTCAAACCCTACACTATGGTTAAACAGTGTTTCGTTTTGTTAGAATATCACTTGTGAATTATCGCACCTTACAAGTTTAATGGTTTACTCATCATTCCACTAATTGGTTTTGTGATGGAACCTTATTTGAAACTTCATCTAGGCTTTTTCCGCTTATGGCGCGCTTTATGTTAGTAGGACCGCACTCGTTTTTCCTCAGTTTCTTTCATGGTATCAGAGATGGTTTTATTGGTGACCGTGGTATCAAAGACGATTCTATTGGTGACCGTGCGATAATGTACTCGTCACCCAACCCAATTGAGATTGAGCTTCCGAAGGACTCACAAGTGAGGGAGGCGTGTTAGAATATCACTTGTGAGTTGTCCCACGTCATTCATACATGGAAAATAAACCCACCTTATAAGTCTAATAAGTTGCTCCTTATTCCACGAATTGGTTTTGTGATGAAACCCAACTTGGCTTTATATGAGCTTTCCCGGTCATGATGCGCTTCGTGTTAGTAGAACCGTACACACTTTCTCTCATATGTGTTTTCCTGGGACGACACCCGCTTTCCCCAGTTTCTTACAGGTTTATTAACTTGCTCATAATTTTAGTTTAGTTTTCAATTGTTGCAGAAAAATCAGTCGTCCTTTTTAAAAGAAAAAAAAAAATATATATATATATATATATCTCATAAGAAAGAATTGTAAATTTTTTGAAAAAGTTTATTTTTTTGTTTTTGAAAAATTTATGTAAAGTATAGTCAGAACGTATACGTATTTTATACAAACTGCAAAACATTTACGGAACAAGAACAGCTATTTTGTTCGTGTTGGACATGCTATTATAGTCCAATAAGAGAAAAGGCCCAATAAGCCCACGCATTACACATCAGCCCGTATATTAAATGGCCTTGAATCTCCATAAAGCCTCTTCAATTCTGCCCATCAAAAGCAGCCTGTGGTTGGACAACTTAAACATGTATAAGTGATAGTTGGACTTTTAGAGGATGAAAAATGTTGTTGATAAATAAGATATTTAAGAGGCCCATTATGGGTTAATTTGATCCGTGTGGACTGCCCTACTGTGTTTTGACGATTATTAAACACTACTTTAGAGTCATTGCCCACAAGGGTAAGGTGAAATTCACAGAAATACGCACACTTTTATGTTCAAATGTTGTAATTTAAAATACAATATAGAAAAAAGTATGAAATTTTATAGTGTAAGTGGTCTTGTGTAAATGAGTCGAGCCGAGCTTGAGCTCATGCTGTTCGACCCCTTAACGAATCGAGCTCGACTTGACTGGTTAACTTAACGAGTTCATAATTAAGCTCGACTCGTTTATTAATATTAACAAGCCGAGCTCGGGCCTTAATGAGTCGGAATCGAGTTTTAACGAGTTGAAATATAGAAATTTACAGAAAAATAATATTTTTTGAGCTTTATCGACTTGACTCGTTAACCAAAGAGTTTTAAATGAGCTCAAACTCAGTTCATTTATTAAACGAGCCGAGTCGAACTCTAGTCGAGCTCATGTTGCTCGAGCCCTCAACGAACCGAGCTCGGCTTGACTGGTTAACTTAACGAGTTCATAATTAAGCTCGACACGTTTATCAAAACTCGGGCCTTAACGAGTCGGAATCGAGCTTTAACGAGTTAGAAATATAGAAATTTACATAAAAATAATATTTTTTTGAGCTTTATCGACTCAGATTGGCTAAAAGAGGTTGATTACCAACCTCATTATGTATCATGGAATTTAAATATTAGTTGACCGAGACACGTGTCCTTTTCTGGTTGGTCCACAAGTTTGATAACAACTAGGCTGAGTATAAATATTTGTATGGTGTGTAATGATATGTAAAATAGGAGGAGAACAATAGCAAAAGATATAAATTAAGATTCCCTTTGCACTCCCACAGTCCCACTCATCACTTCTTTTATCTCCTCTTATACTCTGCTGCCCAATTATTGTTTCTTTTTTTTTCTTCTTCTGCAAGATCTTCATTAAATTATTACAATTTGTAAATGATTTATCTCCAAAAATTTTACTCAATAAGTATTGCATAAACAAAGCAAATTCATTCATGGCTTCCTCCTTGTGCACCATTCTCTTAAGGACCTTTTTCCTCATCCACATTCTCCATGTCAAAGGTATTCCTTTTTCTCTACACTCATTTTTTTTGTTCTTTCCTAACCAAATTTGGTTGGTTATCCACCTGAAAAAATATTTCCCGTTGCCGGAGCAGGATTGATCCGGTGCGCCACATTCACATTCGTGAACAAATG